AGGCAAATTCCAGAAACCTTTGGACAGTGTCAGTGTCTTTGGAGTGAGCATAGCTTTCCAGGATGAGTCCTTGGAGGACATTTATTGCCCTGGTGTGGTTTGTCTGAACCCGTTGCACGCTTCTCTCCTCGAGGGAAACCCGCTGTCCCCAGAAGCGGTCCGATCGATACCCGGGCTGCTTCCTCTCCATCCGAGCAGGCAGGTGTGTCTTCTTGACGTGCCCCCGGCACTGCCTGCTGCCGTCCTCGCCTCACGGCTTGTTTACACAGCAGCTCTTGGGTGACGTGCGGCTGTTCTGTCTTCCCCCTCAGCTGTTCTTCCCGTGGATGACGCCACACGGAGTGGGCACTAGAAACGTGTGCGCTTTCGTTTCCCTTCCGAGGGCAGACAGCCTTCCCTGGCGGTCCTCGGGCTCCCGGACTCGAGGCTGCGTTTTCAGGATTCGGGGCATCCCCGTCCTAATGCTGGTCCCAGCCCCCGCCCTCCGGGATGCTGGAATGATCTCGTGGTGGGGGTGGCAGGCAAATGTCTGGAGGTGTCTTTTTGCCCATCACCGTAGACCACCAAGGGCCATTCTTCCGAATTGTGGGCCAGAAGAGTCTGACATTCTTTAAAAATCCTTATTATTTTCCTGATTTTTTTTTAAATGCATGCTTTAAATCTATGGAAAATTTAATTAAGAGTAGTTGTAAGGCCGGGCGCGGTGGCTCACGCCTGTAATCCTAGCTCTCTGGGAGGCCGAGGCGGGCAGATTGTTTGAGCTCAGGAGTTCCAGACCAGCCTGAGCAAGAGCGAGACCCCCTCTCTACTAAAAATAGAAAGAAATTAATTGGACAACTAAAAATACATATAGAAAAAATTAGCCGGGCACGGTGGCGCATGCCTGTAGTCCCAGCTACTCGGGAGGCTGAGGCAGGAGGATCACTTGAGCCCAGGAGTTTGAGGTTGCTGTGAGCTAGGCTGACGCCACGGCACTCTAGCCGGGGCAACACAGTGAGACTCTGTCTCAAAAAAAAAAAAAAAGAGTAGTTATATCTTATATCAGCTTCTTCCTTGCTCTTTTCTTCCTTCCTTTTCTTTATTTTCTTCCTTTCCTTCCTTTCCGTCTTCTTTCTTTTCTTTTCTTTTCTTTTTTTTACCAAATCACTCCATCTCTGAAAGAAATTTCTCCTTTCTCATCCACACACAGTGTGGCTGGTCTTTGTTTTGTCCCTTTTTTCCTCCTGGTTGCAAGATGCTGGGCCAGTTTCCACCCCAGCACGGGGGGCCGTAGCGGCAGAGCGCAGGCTGTCACCCTGCATCTGTGAACATGGGACTCCTCTCCTGAGTGTCACCTCCCGCAGCCGTTCCTAGGTCTCCAGTTCCCTGTAAACGCAGACCAGGCCCGAATAGGAGAGAAACACAGCTAAAAAGCAGAAATGTTACGTTCACGTGAACTGAGTGACTTTCAGTGTGTCTGTCCCTCCATCCCCAAAGCTGATTCTGTGTCCCTGTCTCCTGGGCACTGTGCCAGGGGACTGGCACGGGTTCTGTGTGTTTTACACACGTGTTTCTTTCTGCATGAGACGCATAATGTGACAGCAACCCTTTAAGCTGGCCCAGTTGAAAAGGGGGTTTGGGACTCTGGCCTCTTCCCAGCCCCCACACCAGCTTTCTGGTTCCTGCTGCCCAGGGAGGCAGCTCCCCCAGCTTCCCGTGTCCAGGTAGCGGGGTGGGGGCCCCTTGAGTGGGATTTTTCCAGACCTGGGATGGAGACAAGGACACAGGTCTCCACTCCACAGCTGCTGTTCTCTTTTGCTTCTCAGATGCACTTTTGTTTTTCATGTGTGACCATCTCTATAATCTGGTGCATCTTATAGCCGGTGGCATCTCGCAGATGCTTTGGCTGGAACTGAAGTCCAGTTCTCATGGAAGGAGTTGCTTTGGCTTGTGCGGCCACCAGGAACACTGTGTTGTCTGCCCAGGGTTCACATTCCTGGGGAGTGTGGTGGGTTTACTTTTCTTTTAGCCCAGGTTTGTGCAGGTACCCTCTGTCACTCTCTCCAGCCTGGGCCTTTCTCCCTTGGGGGTGCATAGGAGAGTGATGCCTCTTAGCACATAGAGTAGGGTCAGCGAACTTTTCTGCAAAAGGCCAGATAGTAGATACTTCCAACTCATCACAAGTATTTCATGCTGCTTTGTACATGGTATGTTAATGAGTGGGCGTGGCTGTGTTCCTGCAAAGCTCTATTTACGGGTGCAGGTGGCCAGGCCTGCAGGCTGCAGTTTGCGCATCTCTGCTCTGGAGCCTCCTACGATTCAGTGATGCGGCATTTATTGAGCTTGCCATGTGTCCCACCTGTACTCGGGACCCCGCTAGGTACTGGGTAGGCGGCCCAGCTCCCTGCCTTCATGAGCTTATATTCTAGAGGGAGAAACAGCACACGAGGACAGAAATAGTAAAAGGATCAATTGTGGCCTGAGATGAGGGGCTCCAGGGGAAATGGGGCTCCAGGGTCCTGGGACACGGCTAGGTGAGGGGAGCCACATGGAAAGGGCAGCCACAGTGGCCCCTCTGCGGAGGTGACATTTGATGGAACTAGAAGGAGACTTGGGAAACCATCTGCAGCACTGAGACATATTCCCCACCCCCCATGCTCCTCCTGAGGGGGTGGGAGATTAAGCAAATGAGGCTGAAGACAGTGTGGCCACACTGCTGAGTCCCTGAGATATTTGGGGGCTAATCTAATTGTTTATTCTTTTAAACCTGCTTTTCTCATCCGTAAGGTGAGAATAAAAAACACATATTATTCCTTTCTTTGCCCTCCCTCCCTTGCAGAAAGTTGGTGGTGGTTCTCCACCAGTGTCGTATGTTTCTTGGGAACAGACTGCATGGGGCCCCCCAAATCCAGGGTTCTCCTGTGAACAAGGGCCTCGCCACCGAGCTCAAGAAGCAGCGCCGGCCCTGTCTGTTAGAGGAGCCGGGTGTCCTGGAGCTGGGCGCCAGGGCTCTCTCCTGGGGCCTCTTTCCCTTCTTGCCCGTCTCAGCTTCCCCTAGCCTCCTGGGCGACAGGCAGCGGCTGGAGACTGCTCCCGTCCCCCCGACCCCTGCTCAGCTGTGCGTGGAGAAGAGCAGAGCCTGGGATGTCCCCCGATGCCTTACTGCATAGTCCCCTGGCTAGGCTTCCCAGGTCAGAATCCAGGAGGAGAAAAGAATCCCCTCTGAGATGGCCCAGACTTCTCATCTCACCAGGAGAAGCTGGGAGTGGCATGGTCTGTCCAGTTCAGTGGACACTGGCCAGCCCCTCTGAGTGCCCAGCTCTGTCCCTTCCCGGTAACAGCCCAGCACCCATGTGTTCTCCTTGAACTCCTGCAGACTTCCCAGCCTCCCTGGACTCTGCTGTGTCCACCTGCTCTTGGTGGCCCTTCCTTACCCACCAGGCTTGCTCCGCCCCTCCCACTATTGCCCTTGGGGACCCCCAGGGGTATGGGTGGGCTCATGGGGCTGTGCCAGGCCAAGCTGCAGGAGGAGAATGTGGCAGTGCCTGCCGAAGGCCAAAACTCCCATCCCAGCTGCTCGAGCCCTGCGCTCTGGCCTCTGGCCCGTAGGGCTCTGCACCCCCAAAGGCTCACTCTCCTTAGCTGTTGGCACCTGGGGGCAGAGCTCAGTCGGGCTGCTTTGCACAAGTCCTGCAGGGTGTTTATTTTCCCAGGCTCCTCCCCAGGACCGTCTCTCGTGCCCCCCGTCTGGACTCGCTCTGGTCGGAGCAGCGGGAGGACTGTCGGGCACACCGGGGCGGCCAGGGGCCTCTGTGCCCCGCTAGCGGGAAGGATGCCAGGTACACCTCAGCGCCTGCCTGCTTGGCTTCCACCCAAATCACCTCCTCATGCATGATCATTGCAGCGCTGTAGAGTCCTGGAGCTTGGTGGGGGGCAGTTGGCAGCCAGAGCAGGTGCCCCCTTGGCCTAGCCCCTGGCACACAGTGACCCTCCACCAGTGCCTTCCCTGCCATTGTGCTCCTGGGTCCCAGGGATGAACACTGTGTCCTGGGGGTGGGAGCTACAACACCTACCTTGCAAGGACTCAGACAGGCTGCTGGGGCTGCTGGGGGCTGGCAGCCCGGGCCATTCTTGGGGAGGTCATGGTGTGGTGACAGACAGCCTTTACCAGGACTCGGCCCAAGGCCCATGGTTTGCAATTCTTGCAGTTGTGTACCCAGACACTTCCAAATGCTCGAGAAAAGTTTCTGACTGACCGACCAACTGACCGATCAACCAACCTACCAGCCAACCTTACATCTCCCCAGGGTGACCTTGGTCTACTCCCCAAGGAGATTTCTGCCCTGGGATGAGCGAATGCACCATCTGCTTACACTTCCAGTGTTCCTGGGATGGGTCTGCCGCTCCAGGTGCCCCCGCAGGTGGGAGGCAGGCTAGAGCCAGGAAGTGCGGAGTGGGGGCTGCGGGTATTTCTGGGGTCTGTCAGCTTCCAGCACCACACAGAAATTATCTGTATGCTTTCTTGGATGGATCCTGTGGAAGCCCATGTTCTGATTTCCTATTTTTTCCCTAAATCGTTGAGAAACAGCTGAATCGTTTGTATTTTAAGTGCTCACATGCGGGTGGCAGCCTGTCCATGTGTCTGTAGCATGTGAGTTCCGGGGGCTGGGAGCGGGTTGGGAACGTGGGACTCAATGGCATTGACCAGACCACTTGACCTGGGGACTTCCTGGGCTCGTGCTGTTCGGGGGTGCAGCGTCTCTCACTGCCTTGGCCCATCTCCCGGTGCCCTTCGTGGTGAGTATCTGCAACACACTTTGGGAACAGGGCCTCAGGTGAGAGAATGTAAGATGGTAGCACAGGTAGGTGCGTTAGTTGGTCATTTTTATGTGGCAGGGAAAAGTGAAACCAAGGCCCTGCCCGGGCACGCGTCCATCCTTGGGGTGGGGTGCCCAGCTCGCTGGAGCCCTGTGCTGCCACTGGACGCCGAGCCCGAGGCTGCCTGGGCTGGTGCTGCCCCCTGGTGTAAGGTGGTGGAGTCGCGTTCCCTGCCTCACAGTTCTAACTCTGGCTCCTTCCTGTGTTTGCTTTTCAGACCGTGAGTCCATCTTCTTCAACAGCCACAATGTGTCAAAGCCAGAGTCGTCATCGGTCCTGACCGAGGTATGTCTCTCCACCGTGGCAGCCTGGCCTGATGCTGCCGGCACCTGGCCTAGGCATAGGGGTGCTGTTGCCCGTGGGGTCGCTGTCTGAGCTCTCCAGCCTGGAAGGGCAGGAAAGACCTTTCCCCCCTGCCAGGGGCCCGGGGAGGTTCCAAAGGCCACTCTTCCTCTGCTTGCTACAGGCCTGGTGCTGTGGCCGTCACAGGCCACTGGTTACCCTGCACGGAAAGTTTTCTGACTCCTCTGCCAGCAGGAGGAAATCTTCCCCCTGGGAGGGTGTGAAGAGCTGCTTTCTGGTCTGCCTTTTCCCCGATTTTAACAAAGGGGGTGGAGGCAGCACCGTCTCAGCCCTCCTTTTTCTGTCCTTGTCCACGTGAGCCCAGCAAGCCCGTTATGAGCCTGCCGTGTGCTTCCGCGGTCTGCGCGTGGGTCAGAGGCGGCCAGGAGCACGTCAGCCCCGGCACCGTGGGTCGTGGGCACCGTGGCCGGTGTTCAGTGACTGTCAGCGTGTGCGGCGTGGCATCATAGCCAGGCCTCGCAGCAGAGGCTAATTAGGAAGCCAGTGCTCAGGGAGGTTCACTGATTTCTCTAGGTTCAAAGAGCTTTCACGTAGGGGCAGAGCTGGCATTTGACCCCAGATCTGTCTGGTTCTAAAGCTGGGTTGTGCAGGAATGTAGGACTTCTTACCTCACTGGTGATTCCCAAGCAACTGTCACCAAAGCAGACAGTTAGAAGTGGCCTTGGGGCCACCCTCTGCCATTACCCCTTAAGCGCAGTGAGCCTACGGCCTCTGCAGCCACTTCCCTGAACTTGGAGCCCCCTGCCAGGACTGCTGCTCCTGAGCATGTGTCCATCCTGGCTCTTCTGGGAGGCGTTGCTGTGTCCTCCCCATGTCCTGGGAGCCTCACCAGCCAGAGCCACAGCAGACCCCTCGCCCCAGCCTCAGCCCTCTGTGCTCCGCGTCGAGGCCCACGCTCGCCTCGTGCTGCTGCCCCAGGCCAGGTGGCCCGTCCCTCCGTTGTTCGTGTCTGGTGCCATTGAGGAGCCAGCTGTGTGCTGAGGGCTGGACAGAGCACAGGCACGGACAGGGACCTGGAGGGAACACCACCGGCCTCACGGTGTCGATGGATGTTCTTCGGGAGCAAGTCAGGGGAACTTTAGAGCAACCGATTTCAAACGGAGCCTCCTGGTGCCTGGCTGTGCGCACTGTGAGATGTGCGTAGGTGTTCTGTGCGAGAGAGGGTTTCCTCCTAAGCTTCAGACTCAAGGGCTTGCTCCCTGCAAGGTTCTCAGGGCCTTGTCCAGCCGCTTGGCGGACGGGGGTCGGCATTCACACCCGTCACGCAGTGTGGGGTGGCAGCACTGGGCCTGCTAACCAGTGCCAGCAGGACACCGTGAGGGCCGTGAGCAGAGTGAGCCACCCGGAAGTCACCTTCTTGGATTATCGCCTGTTGACCGCTTGGCCTCAGTTTCCCCATCTGTAAAATGGGAAGCGGTTGGCCTAGAGACACTCCAGGGCTCTTCCCTCCACCTCTAAGGGCTGCAGTCGTCTCCTCCTTCCCCTCGGCACATGGCTGCTAGTCAGGAATCTGCCAGGACTGGCAACTGTTAAAAATAGAAAAGGGAAATGCAGTCAGCACCGCCTTTTCCACTCGGGACACCCGCTGGCTGGTCTGACACAGCCAGCTCTGGTCCCAGGTACGGGAACACGCTCCTTACCCATCCGCTCACCCCCTGCCCACCTGGGGCTTCTCCAGCTCCCATCTCGGCCTCCCTGGGAGTCCTGTGCAGCCCCCTGCTCTGGCCTTGAAGCCGCCCTCCCTCCCCAGCCAGACACCTCCAAGGGTGGACCCAGCCCCACCCTGACTCACAGGCCCCAAACACCATTTACTCTTAGGAAACCAGTATAGGGTATTGAGCAAGAGCACGGACTCCGGCAGGATGCCTGGGGTCCCACCAAGCTAAGGCTGGTCCCGTCACCTCTCTGAACCTCGATTTCCTCATCCTGCCCCAGGGTGTCTGGGATTCCGTGAGTTCCTGGGTGAAACATGCCACCACGGCACCCGGTGTGCAGCGATGCTTGGTGACAGCAGTGCCGGGAGGCGAGGACCCTCGGGGTCCACTTGAGCACCTTCCTGACTGCGGTCGCCTCCTGGTTCTCTAGGACATCGTTGGAGCATTTGTGTAGGACGCACAGGCAGGATGTTCATGCCCTTAACCTGGCCCAAGAAGGGCGGTTGGGTTTAAAAAAACAACAACCTCAAGAAGGTTCCGAAAAGCCCTAACCGAACCGAAAAGGCCTTTAAGAAAAAGCGGGCAAGAAAAGCCCGGAACGGAAAACCAACCCCGCCCCCGGAAACCCAAGCCGCCCCACCCTAAGCCCCAACAAAAACCCACCGCCGGGGGAATTTTAATAACCAATTAACGCCGGGAAAAAAAAAAGCCCAACAAGGGTAACGGGGGGCCCAAGGCCTGCAAGGGGGAAAAGGCAAGGCCCCGCCCCCCCAAGGGGGGAAGGCCCAAAGCCGCCAAGCCAACCCCGGCCAATAAAAAAGAATTCCCCCAAGCAAAGCAACAGGGGGGGGGGCCAAAAGGCCCCCCCCGGTCCGCAAAAGGGGCCCCCGGCCGGGGGCCCCGCCCAACAACGGGCCGGAAGGTCCCAAGGGCCCCCTCCCGTTCCCGGGCCGGGGGCCCCCAAGGCCCCCGCCCCAACCCCCCCGAACCAACCTCAACTTTTTTAAATGAAGGGAAATTCACATAGATAAAATTGACCATCTTAAAGTGGACGGACGGTTCAGTGGTATTCAGCGCATGCACAGTGTTTGACAGCCACCACTTCTGTCTAGTTCCAAAACACTTCATCACCCAGAAGAACACCCCGTGCCTGTGGGCGTTCAGTCCCCATTGCCCCAGCCCCGGGCACCCACCGAGCAGGTGTCTGTCTCTTTGGCCATACCTATTCTGGACGTCTCATATAAATGGAACCGTAGCACGTGGCCTTTTGTGTCTGGGTTCTTTCACTCGGCATGGCGTTTTCAAAGCTCACCCACACTGTAGCGTATGTCAGAATTTCGTTCCTTCCTAAGGCTGAGCAATGTTCGTTGTGTGGATAGACCACAACTCGTTTATCCATCTGTCTTGATGGGCAGTCGTCGTTTTCACCGATTGGCTGTCGTGAACAGAGCTGCGGTGAACGTGGGGGACAAGCGTCTGTGTGAGTCGTGTTTTCAACTCTCGGGTATAGACCTAGGACAGGAATTGCCAGGTCTTATGGTAATCTGTCTTTAATTTTTTGACCCAGCTTCACTTTGACCTTCCACGGACCCGTCACCTCTCTCAACCCCTCCTCCCCCTTGGCCCCGGCATCCACAGCCCCCAGAACTCTGGTATTTATTGAGCACCTAGTGCGAGCCCTGTCTTGGCTGACTTGGAGGTGACACGACACAGTCCCTGCTGCAGAGTCCAGCTGCAGCCCCTCCTCCCAGCCAGGCCTGTGCTGTGCCCACCATGGCAACAACCTGGGAGGGAGGCCTTGTTGGTCCCGTTTTACAGATGAGCAAACTGAGACACAGGCTGAGTGCTTTTCCCTGAGTTCACGGAGCTAGGAGGTCACTGCAGGATTTGAACCCAAATCTCCCTAACTCCAGAATCCTTCCCAGTGCAACTTCTTCCACTTTCTCTCGGGTCCTGGCCGGGGGCTGAGCCCCAGCACGTGAAGACGTGTGTGCCTGTCCCCGGCCAGCGGTGACTAGAGCAGGAAATGAGTGGGGTTGGGGGAGTCCAGGGCTGGGTGGGAGAACCATGGGCTGGAACAGCCCCATCAGCCCTTTGGAAGCTTTGCCGAAAGCTGAATTTGGACCCCAGGGGTCAGGCGGGAGCAACAGAGCAGCCTCTTGGGGGAGGCCCCTGTTGTGTGGGATGTGAGTTAGTTTGGAGACACGGTAGTTAGCCACTTTTTGGGGAGGAAGATGGCGTGTCTGGCCCAGAGCCCTTGACCTCACGCCCCGAGGCCCTCTGCGATGCTGGGCAAGTGAGGTGCTGATCAGAACACCCCCCCGTGCCCTGACCCTGCACCCCAGCCTCTCCCAATTGTCTCCTGCAGCTTCTGCCTCCCACCTTTGTCTCCGCCGGGCTCTCCCCAGGCCTCTCCTTTCTCCCACCCTGCCTGAGAGCCCAGATCCTCCTGCCGGCAAGGCCCGGCCCCAGTGCTGTCCGCCCGGGTCCACACAGACTCTCCACGTCCTTCCTCCCGCCGAAAGGGTTGGGTTTTGGAGGCTGAAAAAGAGGAGTCTAAACCCAGCCCTGTGCTTTTGAGCCGTGTGGCCCTGGACCAGCCCCTGACCTCTCTGAGCTTCAGTCTCCTGTGTGTGAGGCGCTGACACTGACACTAGCCTTCCAGGCTGTGGCGGGCCCTGGGGAGGTAGAGCACGTCACACGCCTAGTGCCTTGGCCGGAGCTTCCTGTGGTGGGTCTGTCCTGCCTCCTGGCCTGAAGGATGCCAGGGCCTCGTGGCACTTCTCGTGGGGGGGGTCTCTGTGTGCGGCGTGGCATCGTGCCTCCTCCGCCCACAGCCTGACTTCCCTGTCTGTGTGGGCAGCTGGACAAGATCGAGGGCGTGTTCGAGCGGCCGAGCGACGAGGTCATCCGGGAGCTCTCCCGGGCCCTGCGGCAGGCGCTGGGCGTGTCACTCTTCGGGATCGACATCATCATCAACAACCAGACGGGGCAGCACGCTGTCATCGACATCAACGCCTTTCCAGGTGAGCAGCAGGGCTGGGTTCGTGGCCAGCTGTGTGTAGACTGCCCCAGGTGACAGGGCAGCCGGACCTGAAAGCCAGCTCCATCCCTCCCTGGGGTGTGGGGCAAGGGCAGCCCTGCCGCGCCCCACCCGCACGTGTGAGATGGGGTCGCGGGGTGTGGCAGGGAGTGAAGGAGATCGTGCATCCAGCCCAGCGAGCTCGCGGGGCCCGAGAGAGCCCGCAGTACACACGTTCTTCCGCCTCTTCTCTCGCCCCCGCGCCACAGCATAAGCCTTTACTGGCCAAACCCTCCATCCCTTTGGCCTTTTTAGGTTTAAGGAACTAGAAGGACCTTGAAGGGAATACAACCCTCCTCCCAAGTTGACATGTAGGGAAACTGAGGCCCCTAGAGAGGAAGAAACTGTCCGAGGCCCCACAGCGCACTGGTGGCAGGGCCAGAGGCTCCCAAGCCCAGCCTCCTTCCACTGCCCTGAGCTGTCGTGCTGGGGACAGGCCTTGGGAGGGGTCCCCATGCTGTGGCACCCGATTCCTGCTCCCTGCTGGGGCCGCAGGAACCTGCTGGCACAGAGCCAGGCTCCGTGTGGCCCTCAGATCCCAGCAGCAGGAGGCGGCACCAATGAGCCCTTGACACAGGTCTGTCGGGGACGACAGTGGTGACTTCTGCAGCCGCTGCTCACCAGGCTGCGTGCTTCACCCGGAGACGCGGGGTCTCGGTGGCGCACCCACCTCCCACAGCAGCTTGGAGGCAGGGCCAGCCCTGAACCACGCCCAGAGCAGCGCTCCAGCGCTCACTCCACGGCCGTCTCTGCCCCGAGATGCATTTTCCTCCATTTTGTCTTGAATCCAGCCTTTAGTAAGTACCAGAGACTGCGCCTGGCAGTGGGGACTGCTTGGGGGCATTTGCTGCAGGGAATGGGGCATGACCTCCTCTTGCTATGCAGCTCCCAGGCCCCACGCACAGGCTGGGTGCGTGACACACGTGTCCCCTCCGCTCCTCGGTGCTCAAGCCCGTCCAGTCATCATGACTCACAGCCGACGGCGAGGAGCCCACTGGCTCCTTCCGCGTTCATTCAAGGGCTGAGCGTGAGCTCGGCTGCCCGGGCCCTGCCCTTGGAGAGCTCCTGCCCTAGCTGGGAGGAGCCAGAGGACAAAGTGGGTCACCAGGGGCTCCTGTGAGCTGAGCCCAGCAGGAAGGGGAGGGGCCCTTGCTGGGGATGGATTGGCGGCTCCCGGGCCGAGGAGCTCTGTGGCCATGGTGGTGGGTGCGGCTGGGGGGCAGGAGGATGGTGGCACAGAGGGACCTCGTATGGCCAGCTGAGGACGTTGGGTCCCACCCTGGGCGAGGCGGGCGAGGTCTGCGTTCATGGACAGGCCACACCTGTGGGGCAGTCGTCTGTTTTTCTCCAGTCCCCCAGGTGCAGTGTGGAGGGAGCCGTGGGTTCAGCCGGAGGTGGGGCTCCACGCGTGGTGTGGGAGTGGGGGCCAAGGGGACTGAGGAGCATTGGGAACCATCAGAATAACGAACCTTGGGCCTAAACCACATTGGGGGGGGGCGGGTGGCCCAATGAAAAGGTGGCAGTGTCAGCAGGCTGGAGGGTCAGGGAGGCATAGGGGGTGGGGGCTGTTGGGGAAATTCTAGAAGGAGGGAGGAGACGGGAGGGAGGAAGCTTAGCACCTGAGCAAGGCTGTCCCCTCCCGACACAAACACCTCTGTGGGGCAGGGCCCCAGGGTGATCTGGGGTGCAGAGGAGGATGGGGAGGCTTCTTCAGGGAAGCCAAGAGAAGGGCCGCCAGGCATCGAGGTGGGCTGAGGCTGAGCCAGGGGTGCTGGCGAGGGCCTGATGCTGAGGGGAGGTCGGGGGAGTGTGTGTGGGCCCCGGCCCCGTGCAGGGAGGAGACGCATCTGGGAGGCAGTTTGCCAGCCTTGGTTAGAGCACTCTCGGGGCCAGGTAGAAGGGGGGGCCTGGTCCTCCTGCTCCCCATAGGAGGCTGCCTCGGGGCCACAGGTGTGCAGCAGCACCTGCCCTCTGGGAAGAGCAGCAGCAGCAGGAGTACAAGTGCTGGGGACACCTCTGCAAGCCAGGCCTGGCCCGAGGACTGCGCTGCCCGCTGGTATTGTCCTCACAGCAACGCTGTGGAAAGGGCTGCCGGGACCTCTGTTCACCGGTGAGGATGTGAGGCAGGGAGTCCAGTGACTTGTCCGGGGTCACGTAGAGCAGAATGGGGCTCAGACCATCAGCCCGAGCCTGCGCTCTTGGCCGCGACATTTCCCACCTCTCAGAGCACCAGCCGTGGGCTCGAATCCTGACTCTGCCTTTACAGTCCGCGATGGGACGAGCCACCTCACTTTGTAGCCTCAGTGTTCACTTCTGCATAGTGGGAACAAATCCCCACCCTGTAGGCAGAGGAGATGGTGTTTGCACAGTCCTGGTGTGGAGCGGGCACCCTGCCCTGCTAGTTCACGCCTCAGTCTGCTGCCCCAGGCCGACAGACACCCGCCTTCCCCTGGCCTCCGAGTGGTGGCTGCCTCCACACGCCCGCAGAAAGCACACTCTCCGCTGGGGCCTCGGGCCTTGTCTGGGGACGTTGGCAGGGCGGTTGCTTAGGAATGGCTTCCTCTTCCCTGGTGCTGACGGCGGTGGAGCTGAGCACCTCCCTTTACACGTCCCCAGGCACCCGATGGCTGCGCCCACGGGGCCCGGGTCTCGGTCCTGGTTCTGCCCTGCCTTTCACCCCAGCCCCAGGGCTGACGTCCTACAAAGGGGCAGCTGGCTCTAGGTGGTATTCGAGGCACAGACAGGCCCACAGGGCCTGGTTCAGATCCTGGCACTGCCACTTGGGAGCTTTGTGACACTCAGCAGCCATGTCTTCTGTGAAATGGGGACGGAGCCGTGAAGACTGAGCAAGGGGCCGTGGTGTGATCACGTGGAGGCGCCACGTGCCATCCCTTGTAGCCATCTTTATTTTCACTGTGGACACCCCTGTGTCCCCCCCTCGGCCTTGGGCTCCCTGAAACCACAGCAGTTTGCTGAGTGGATAAGGACGTGAACGAATCTGCCAGCCTCGCCCTGGGCACGCCCTGCAGGGCCTCTCTGTAGGCGGCGGCACAGGTGCCATGGTTGCGCCTTCGTTCCCACCCCCGCTTCCTCTGACGGCTGTGAACATCATCGCATGGCAGGTGCTGGGTTTCGGTGACTCCGACCCTCCACGTTGGCTCAGGCAGATGGGGGGCGCTCACCCTGTGTCGAGTCTCTTTTGGAGCAGTTTTCTGGGCGTCAGCAAATTCTCTCCCTGGATCCTGACCACCTGCCGGCGAGCTCCCAGGGACTCTGCTGCCACTCACGTCTGCTGGGAAACATTTGCCCCTGGCAGGCCCCCTGGTCTGCACCCCAGTCAGGGGCCCTTTGTCCCAGGCAGCAGTGGGGCCTTGTCGCAGGCCTTGGCCCTGTGGGTGGTGCCCAGCGCCTCTGCCCATGGCTTTGACCCTCAGCGTGGGGCACAGGGGGCCTCCCTGCAGGTACTGGGGGCGAGACAGGGGGAAGCAGCTGCCGGTGGAGCAGGCACCGCCCACGTCCCAGCCCTCCCGGTGGTGCCCTCCACAGCCTCTGCCCGAGTGGTGGTGTCTTCCTCGGTTTGCAGACCAAGCGCAGAGGCTCAGGATGGATGCCGTCTCCAGGACTTGGCTGGGGCCAGGCTTGGCTGGGTCACGTAGAGTCGAGGGGTGTTTATTATTCAGAGCACGTGGAGCGGGCTTGGCACTGCTACCCTCAGCCATGCCAGCGTCCCCCACCCACGTACTGGCTCTTACCTCGGTGGGTGGGACGGTGGGGCCGTGTCTGAGAGGGTCGAGGTCACAGGGTGTTCTGTCATCAGCTTAAGTCCTACAGCGTCTCACACGTTGGGAGCAGCCAAAGCCCCTCACACAGGGGCCAGCTCTTGGGGCCACCTGTGTGTAGTTGTGAGTCCAGCCTGTGACGTCCCACAGACCACCTTGTCCACCGAGCCCTCGTGTGCTGTGTGAATGGCATCCCGAGAGTGAGCGCTCCCGGGAGCCCACTGGTCCCACTTCCTCCTGCCCACGATGGCCCGTAACACCCCGTGACGCCCTGTGCTGTCTGTCTCTCCCACCCAGGCTACGAGGGCGTGAGCGAGTTCTTCACAGACCTCCTGAACCACATCGCAACCATCCTGCAGGGCCAGAGCGCAGCCACGGCAGCCGCGGGGGACGTGGCCCCACCAAGGCACAGCAAGGCCCTGGCCGAGCCGGCGGGCAGCCTGGCCAGCGAGCGGACGTGCAGCACCAGCCCTGGCTGCTGCGGCAGCGTGACGGGCGAGGAGGCGCCTTGGAAGGCCGAGGCCGACGTGGGTGGCACCGCCAAGCTGCCGCACCAGAGACTCGGCTGCACCGCGGGCATGTCGCCCAGCTTCCAGCAGCACTGCGTGGCCTCCCTGGCCACCAAGGCCTCCTCCCAGTAGCCGCAGAGCCAGGACCCAGAGGGGCAGCGCGGGGCGCAGAGCACACCCGCTGGGCAAGCAGCTACTACTAAGAATTCCCAATGATCTGATTCTTTTCTTAATTTTTAACCTGATTTTCTGATGTCATGATCTAAACGAGGGGTGGGGGAAGATGGAGAAGAACACCAAGCCGTCTAACCTGGCGGAAAAGGGAATCCCGCCTGATTCCTGCTGCGCGGATCTCCTCACTGAGTTTGCACACTCGTGTTCTCAACACTAGGTCTGAGTGTGCGGGGCGTCCTGTGTGCGTGTGGTTGCCATGCAGGTGTGTGTGCACACCCATGTCTGTTGGTCTCCGTGGCTGCTGGGGACCAGGCCTCTGGGGACCCTGGAGGGGGCCGGGCCAGGCTGTTGTGGCTGAGGAGCGTGCGAGCGAGCGGTGCCCCCAGGACTCCCGCACCCAGACCACCCTTTCCTCGTGTCCCTCCAGCTGGTCTCCTCCCCTGTGAGCCCCACCCCGCCAGGTGTGCAGCTCGCCCTCCTTCCCGAGAGCACGCAGAGGCGCCGGGCCCCTGGGGGAGCTGGGCTGGGCCGTGCTGCACCTGCTGCGACAGGGAACGGAGCTTCCCGGGGCTGAGGCCAAGGCCCTGCTGTTGCCGCTCTTCACGCCCCAGCGCTCCCTGCACGGGGCCTCCTGCCCCCAGCCCTGCGCGTCCTCACCCCTGAACCCAGAAAGGAGGCTGCCTGCGTGGGGCCTGGGCCGATTCTAAGGCTGTGCCAAGGATTTGTGCTGTGATTTGGGGCAAATCATTCCGAAAGTCTTCGGGCCTTCGTCTCCTGGTCTCTAGTGGGCATTTGGGCCCCGGGAACCCTGAAGTGCTGTGACTCCTGGGCTGCGCCCTGCTTCTCCATGAGGTCACCCGGTGAGGACAGGCGCGGGAGCCTCTGCTCGGCGCTGGAGGGATTGGGGGCCTCTTTCCTGGCAGGGGAGGCTACCTGTACGGTTCACTCCTGTTCACACTGGCCGGTCCCCCCTACCCAGCAGGCCCCGAGCACTGAGCCAGCCAGGTGCCAGGGGCTGCCCCTCCCACACCGTGGGCTCTCCCGTCACCGTGGCAGCCAAGCCCCGGCTCTCCCGTCTGACCCCAAGCTCTGGGCAGACCAGCATCCCCCTCCGCGGAGAGCAGGAGTTGGGGGATGCTGGGGACGCTGGGTGCGGTGCACGGGGCCCCTGAGCGTGATTTTGAGTCTTAAGATACAGTTCACCTTGGAAAAGAAAAAAGCTTCTGGGCTGTCCTCTGTCGTCCAGTGAGCCAGGACACTGGGGGGAGAGCTGTGTCCCAAGAGAGGCTGCGGCGCGGGGCTCGGAGGCGGCTCCAGCCTGGCTGAGCGAGGCGTGGGACGCCCCTTTGAGAAAGGAGGGCTGGGTCCGGGTGCGGGCAGGGCCGTCAGAACTGCCCAGCTCTTTTGGAAACCAGGGGCTAGGCGACTAACCACGTTTACACGACTTGAGTGTTGAGCCCCGATGGGTGTCTGTGCGCCGCCTTCCCTAGTTCCGAGCCTGGCCTGGGGAGTGGGAGGGCGCGACCGGCCCCTCGCACTGCTTTGTCTCCAAATAAACTACTGAATCAAACTGCATTTCACACGTGTTTACAGAGTGTCGCTCGAGTTTGTTATGTCTTTCTCCCAGTCCTTAAAAGATGTTTAATAAAACAGCTTTACCTTTTAAAAATAAAATGCCGATCCCGAATTGCCTCAAACAGCTGGGCTGTGCGGTGTGACTCCTGGCCGTGTCGTGTTCCGTCCAGCGCGTGGCCTCGCCAGGGCCCAGCTGACAACCACTGACTGCCTTCTGTTGACGTGCAGGGACTTCACATTTTCCAGGAGCAGGAATTGTGGGGTTGAATTTGCCTCCTGAAGGCCTGGGAGCCACGAGGCTATGGGGGAGCAGCCCGCACCCAGGGCCTGTCCAGGCTGTGGACACTGCGCCAAGCGACGGCAGCATCGAGCAGAGGAGGGGCTGTGAGTGGTGGTGAGGCGCCAGCCGCCCCTCAGAGCGGGCTCGGCGGCCACGGCGAGAACCCTGTTCTCTGCATGCCTTGGGTGCGTACTAACTTTTTTGGTCCCAGGACGCTGTCCATGGAGCTGGTTCACCCTTAGGCCTCATTGTCCTGGCTGTAAGCTGGGCCCTGGCAGCCGCCGCTTTCTTAGGGCATGCGGTGCTGCCTCCTGAGTGGGAACAACCTGCTAAGCCAACGATGTTGCATGGTGGCACTCGAGTTGGCCCTGCCAGTGTCGTGGTGGAGTTGGGACTCTCACTCAAAAGCCTCTGTTTCCGAGTTGGGCAGCACGCTGGCTCTGGCCCTGCAGCTCTGTCATGGTGGTCAGTAGGCAGGGGGCTGAAGGGCCCCAGGGACAAGGGGCAGGGTGACACTTTGGCTGAGGCTTTGGGTGGCTTCAGAGGGGCACCCGCGTGGTCTGCACTGGGCACCGTGGAGCCATAGCTTGGGGTCGGGTTCTGCCTGAGGATGCTTTGATGGTATAATGGTGCGATTCTGCACACATGACACCCCACCAAGCCAGCTGCTGCGTGTGTGTCCTGGGGCAGGGGCTTGGTGTCCCAGGAGTGTCTAGGTTTGCTGTGCGTGGTGTGTAGGGCTGGGCCTGCGGTCACCCAGCTGAAGCCCAAGGGGGTCTTTGGGGCTTCCTGTGCCTGGGGTGGCCTGTATGTTACTCCTGCCAATGAAAGAGAACACAGCCTTGAAAAGGTGTCCCCTCCACCAGGGGCCTGCCGAGCGCGCTGCATGGAAGGGGGAAGACCCTAGGAGGGAGCTGTCTGTTTTTTGAGCCAATTCAGAAAAGCAGCTCGTGTCTGCCCGACAGCCCCTCTGAGGCCAAGGGAGATGGCGGATCCTTTGTCCTTCCAGCCTGGAAGACCAGTTCTTGGCTCTTGGTCACTCAGATGGATGTCACTCACTAGCCACAGAGAGTCATTGAGTGGTTTCACTGATGTCCCTGGGGTTTGTGTCTGCCCTCTCTCCTGTTCCCTGGGAACCGATCATTCGCCCCAGCAGCGCTTCTGCTTCCTGTGCCGCGGCTCCCAGGCCCCTGTCCACGCCAGAGCCCGTGAGCTGGGAGCTGGCAGTCCTGAAGGACAGGTGACCATGCAGCAATCCTGGACAAATGCCCTCTGCTGTGCCCTGATGCCACCTGCCCTGCCCAGGCCTGAGCCTTCTCCCATGGGTCCTGCCCATGTGACAATGGGTCTGTGGCTTTTTCCCTTCTCCATGTACAGCCATTGCCAGCATGGGCTTGGAGTGACCCCACCTCCCCTACCCTCTGTTCAGAGCGAGCTGGAGCGTGACAGGCGTGGGCTCCTGCTGGCTGGGTCCTCTTCCTGCTGGTTCTGCCAGCAGGACCCACCCAGAGCCCGGGGACTTTTTCAGGAATATTGCATTTTCTCTTTACTTCTGGGAGGAATGTCCCCTCCCACAGCGGGCCTGACCACTTCCTGCAGGGCGGTGTGTGCACCTCTCTGAAGCTCACTCTTGAAAAGACACGTGCAGAGGGGTTTCTCCAGGGCGTTGCCCTTAATGGCGACACCTGTTTTGTGACAAGTGCTGTTTCCTTCAACCCTGTTCACAAGCAACTTTGCCAGAATCCCAAGCTGGTTTGTACTGAATTTGTGTATGGACACATATATAACATGCATGGCTACATGTACTGCCTATAAAATCATGGCTCCTGACCACTGGCTCTTCTCACTTGGTTACATGTCCATGTGACTAGGACGCTGCAGGTGGCTCGTCTTTGGGATGGGTTGTTTCTGGGACAAGGTGTCCCCAAATCCCCTTTACTAACTCTCTTGGTAGCAGATGTTTTGAATTCTGTCTAGTGGCATACAACTAGTGTTGTGTTTATTTCTATAACTGGCCAGGGCGAAGTGTGAACTTCTCTCTGAAACATGAAGAAATAAGCACTCGCAGCCCCAGCCGTACAGAGGGGTCCCTCAGCACACTGGGGGCAGGCGACGGCGGCAGGCACAGCCCGGCCTCAGCGGAGAGGCCCAGATTTGCTGAGACCCCTCCAACACTTGTGTCATCATAGTATTAATAATAGTTCCCTGGTGCACACTGGGCCCCTCCGACCCTCACCACAATCTGATAAAGATATGTAAGTATTGTCCCCATTTTATAGATGAGGAAACTGAGGCCCTGGGAGGGCCAGAAACACCTGTGCAAACTCTCCCACTAGTTAATGGCAAGGCTGGGGATTCCAGCCCTAGTTGGAGGTCAAACCTAAGTCCTTGTCACTGAACCCTGCCTGCCCAGACCCGCCAGACAGAGCCCAAGCCCGTGGGAACTGGGTTCCCACAGCCCAGCCGGCACCCTGAGCTTGTGGTGGGGAGATGGGGAGAGGAAGGAACAGTGGGGGCCGTTCGCATGTGTTACTCGATCGCACATGCCCTTTGTGGCAGGCCAGCGTCCCCATTTACAGATGAGCAATCAAGGCTCGGGTACAAAAGTCACTTGCAGACAATCCCGCAGCTAAGAAGTAGCCCAGAAAGGAGTCGCCCCAAATCTAATGCACCCCACCCACTCTGAGTTGAGAGGGGCAAAAAATTCTAAGAAAAAGGAAAGAGCCCAGAACAGATTTATTTTTTCCTTAGATAAATTTTATACAGAATATATTACAGTTAGGAGTTCTCAGCTTTCACCGAAAGGTCAGAAGTTATTGCAGTTGTGCCCAGTGGATATGATGTTAGAAGGGAAACTTCTAGAAAGCTGCCTGTGTTGAGAGTAGGAATAATCAATGTTTAAAGTTGTGGGGGTCCACCCTGCAGAGGGCGTCCCAGGGCAGGGTCAAGAGCAGGAGGACAGGAGCGTGGGGGTAGCAGGGTGGCCTGGGCTTGGGCGGGCTGTAGGCCACCTCCCTACTGGAGGCAGCGCTTGGGCCGTGTGGCCAGGGCCTGCAGTGGGGACAGCAGGGCCAGGACCGCAGGGCGCCTGGGGCCCCTCAGCCCCGCCGCAGCGCCTGCAGCTCTCGGGCCACCTTCTCCAGCTCCGCCTCAATGGCCGACAGGCTCTCCAGCTCCTGGTCCTAGGAGAGAACATCTGGGTCACTCGGGGCCAGCACAGGGAGCCCCAGGAGCTGAC